ACTCCATACATTCCAAATGAACATTGCCTTTCTTCATCATCAGAATTTATTCACATCCTAAAAACTAGATCATCATCAGGCATCATATCATCAATAGATGTGGAAACTCTTTTCACTAACGTTCCTGTTGATGCCACAATAGATATTATTTTAAACTATGTATATAATAGTGCTATGAATCCACTAAAAATTAAACCTCTCTCTGCTAAAACAGTTACTTCAAATCTGCACAAAAGAAGCTCCTTTCTACACTCCTGATGAAAAAATGTATCAGCAGGTCAATGGTGTAGTCATGGGCTCCCCTCTAGGAGTGATGTTTGCAAACTTCTACATGGGATATTTAGAAGAAACTGTTTTCCAAAAGAAACCACATCTCAAACCCATCGAATTATAGAATTATAGAGATTTGTCAAAGCAAAAACACGATAGCATATATTCAACTGTATATAACTATTGGCAATGATTGCTCGATTTAATTTAACAAAAAATAAACAAACTATTTTAGTTGTAATTTTGTTTATAATCTAAATGTATCAAGCCAAAAATAATATTTAAACAAAATGCACAGGTATACACACACATACACACTGAAAGACACACATATACATAAACTCGCTTATTGTTTTTTTTTTCAATATGTAGAATATGTAGAAGAACATCAGGGGCCCCACTCTAATTCTTCGATCCGGCCCTAAATCCGGCCACCAAATCCGACCGAGGCCGGATTCGACCGGATTTGAAAAAAAGCCGGATATTGGCCGAAGCCGTGGCCGAACTTCGGTGCATCCCCAGTTTGAAATGTCTCTTTTCAAAAATTCTGCAAAGCGTTTGTTCCAACATCTTGCTTGTTTAAATTTATAGAGACTTCGCTTGAGTTTACAGACTCTTCCTGAATTATCTTTAAAACCTTCAAGTTGTCTATGTAGATATCTTCATTTAGTTTGCTGTATAAAAATGCTGTAAACATATCAAACTGCCTGAGTGACATCTTTTCATTTGCAGCAACACTTAATAGTGTTCTTATAGTTGAACTTCTGACAACAGGACTATAGGTTTCTTCATAGTCAATTCCCTTTTTCTGAGAAAAATCTTTCACCACAAGCCTGATTTAAAACGTTCAACAGAACCATCTGAATTGTGTTTTACTTTGTAGACCCATTTGCATGTATTGCTTTATGACATTTTGGAAGATTTAACAAATCCCACGTTTGATTTTTCTGTAATGACTGCATTTCACTGTTCATGGTTTTAAACCACTCATCTTTTTCATCACTTTGAATGGCATTTTTGTAACTCTCTGTTTCAAGTTCTTCACAAAATGCAGACATAACAAAAAGATCATAACGAGATGGCCTTTCAATAATATTCCTGTCACGTAAAACCATACCTCTGGTTTTTTGATTATAACAATCAGATTGATCTTTTTCATCAGATAAAACTGAACTACGGTTGTAAACATTTTCCTCAGTTGAAATACTTTCTTTAATTAAAGTTTCTTTATTTTCATCTTTGATTTCATCATCAATCAAAACTGTATCATCTGAACAACTTTCTTCATGCAAAATCACTGAATTTGGCATGACAACTTTCTCATCAAAAATAACATTTCTTGATCGAAGCATTTATTTCCTAGATGAACAGAAATTCTGTGGCCATCGTCACCTTCATATCCAACGAGAATACCCTTTACAGCTTTAGTATCCATTTCCATTACAGCTTCATAAAAATATGAACCTAGGCTGTGCTACCAATGATTCGTAGATGTGTTATCTTAGATTTCTTGTTAAACCACAATTCATATGGTGATTTTCCTTCTACAGTAGATGGTCCAGTTCGGTTGAAAATGTAAGCAGCAGTTTTAACTAATTCAGCCCAAAGGGCCCTGAGACAGTTCTTCATGAGCCAATCTCATGGCTCTTGCTGCTTCAACTAACGTTCGATTATCACGCTCACTGCAACCATTCTGCTGAGGTGTATAAAGCATAGTTAGGCGTTGTCTAACTCCTTTTTTTGGCAAAATTGATCTGACTTCTTTGTTGTTAAATTCATCTCCATTGTCACTGAATACTTCCGAGACATTTTGACCAGCTGATCTTGACTCTTCAAGCATTTGTCTGAGTTTTTCTGGTACATCTGATTTTTGTTTTACAAATTAAACATATCTGTAGCTTGCAAAATCTTTGAACAAAACAAAGTGTCTGAAATTTTAAAATGAGAAGCAAAAAAGACCACATACTTCAGTGTGAATTACTTCTCCTGGTCTTGATGCCCTTACTCGAGTTCCAGATTTCAATCGATGTAACTTTCCATAGACACATCCTTCACATAATTCACTGTTCACAGGTATATCTATGTCTAGTTCACGTTTCATAAACATTTTAACATGTTTCTTATTCTGATGTCCCATTCGTTCATGGTTTAACTGCAATGCATCTTGATCATTGACGAAGTTAACTTCAACTTAAGAATACAACGGTCTAATAGTTTTTGCTACAAGTTTGAACAAACCTGCATTATTGTTTCTTATTTTAACAACATTTATCACATTCTCAATAAGTAGATGACAACTTTTTGAGGTTGGAACAAAAGAGCTATTTTTGTTCTTATCTTGAATTGCAAGTACTGAGAACAAGTTTCTTTTTACTTTTGGCACATACCAGACATCTGTGAGTTTGACAGTTTGCCATTTATTATTCACTTTCACTTGAAAATGAACAATTCCTTTTCTAAAAGCTTCTAAAGTATCACTATTTGCAACATATATTTTACTCGGTTGAAAAAATATTTCAAATCTTTGAAATGTGTCTCTTCGGAAAGTTAGATAACACGTTGCACCATTGTCAAAAAACCATTAATCAGTGTATGCTGACTCATCAATTGCAAAAACACTTGATTTCATAACAACTAGTGATTTCTTATTGTCATCGCGTAGATTGTTATTTCTTGGTTTTGCTAATTTACCATCGGAATGCCCTTTTTCACAATTTCTCACAATGTGACCTGGCAATTTGCAATAATGACATATCAGCCGCTTTGATTTGCTGACAAACTTATTTTGTTTCTGACCTTTCATGTTTTGAGATGATTTTTCACTTTTTGCTTTGACAAATAATACTTTATTCATTTCAGTTGCGCCTTCCAAGGATCTTTCATAGCTACACAATTGATCTGTGAGTGTTTCAACTGTCCTTTCAGTCTTGTTCAACAATCTCCAACTTGCAGCAAATAACAAATATTTTTCTGGCAAAGTTTCAATTATTTGACACATCAGCAATAAGTCACTGTTTTTATCTTTTCCTAACTCGACCTTTAAATCTTTCCAAAGATTCTTGAGTTTTGTGACACGAGTGACAACATCATCACTTTCATCCATTTTATAACTAAAGAACTTCATGCATAAATTGTATACTTTATCTTCATTAACTTCATCATACGATCTATGAAGTTCTAGCCAAATATCTCTGGCATTACTAAATAAACAAACTTTTTCATACGTTTCATCGATCATAATAGTTGGCATAATTATCATAGCATTACAATCTGCTTTATTGAATTTGTTCAAAGCAGTTTGATAATTTGCTATCTCATCTTCATTTGAGTCATCATTTGGACCTTTCAATTTCAACAATGCCATTTACTACGTCCATTGCATCAGGAATGCCCCATAGTATTATTATACGAACTCTTGATATCCAGTTCAACAAATTACTTTTGCCTTCTAGGTGTTTGATTTGCACTTTTGTTAGATCCATTTCTTCCTTGTCTTTCAATTTGACCTTTTTAAATAGAAGCAAAATATCGACTTTAAAGAATATATATATATATATATATATATATATATATATATATATATATATATATATATATAATTAATTATGATCACGGCGTTTCTTACAGAACTCAATCTATATGATAGTTTCTCGATTCTTCAAATAATTCTCCGATCTACCAAGCTTAACTTGTTAATGCTATTAACAAAATTCCTATTTACAGAAGATGTCATTATCTACATGTATGCATATAGTACTATTTCGACTACCTAGTCTCGTCAGTGCAGCATTATAATAAATTTTACTTTTTTAAAGTTTTTAAAATTTCAAAATTTTAAAAGTTTTAAAATTACTAAATTTTAAAAGTTTTAAAATTACTAAATTTTAAAAGTTTTAAAATTACTAAATTTTATATCCTATATATATCCTTTTTACAAAAATTTTAAAATTAACGCTTTTATTTATTAGTTTAATTTTTTTTCTTTGGCAATTCATTTCCAGCTGACATCTTTCTACAATATAATCTAAACTTTTTATAAAATTCATTACAATATCCAGAAAAAATAGTTATTGTTATTTGACTTACCAACTTGATGATTTAAAATATTTTTTATATCATTGATAATTAATTTAATTTAATCATTTATTATTGATTAGTAGTTTGATCAAATTTATTAACGAAACTGAAACAATTTGTATTCAAACTCACCTTCACTCTTTATCTTAAAAATAATATAAATTGACTTCCAGCTAAATCAAAATAACATTAATAACAGCAAACGCGACAGTTAATATTGCGACAACACAACGGTTTTTTTAAACAGAACATGAATTATTGCAGGAACAAATGAAATAAATTGTATAGTGCTTGACATATAAAAATTCAAAAAGCACAATATTTTGTATATATAATTATAATAAATTATATAATTATTTTATAGCGTTTGCAATTTAGAATTTTTTATAAGTTTAATTCCTGCCTCCTCCCCCCAATTTCGCCTCTGGTTTTCTCTTCACTTCAGTCTTCAAAAAAGGTTGAAGCCTCACAACATTCCAGTTCAAACATTGCAATACAAATTCACTAATAGTGATTTGAATAAATGTCAACGATTAAGGTTTTTAAAATGAAAGATATATCATTGAGTATTTGATAGCAGAAAAAAACAGGAACCGAATTTTGAAAGTCAAAGATGTTAATAGTAAACTTCCAAGCTGCGGAAGCAACGAAAAATGCGTCCGAAAACAAGCAATGATTGGTCAGTTGTTACAAGAACAAGACGGCCTACAGCTAAAAAGATATTTTCACGGGAAAATAATGATTCAATAAAAAATGGGAAAAAAGTTATATCAACTGTAATAACCATTAAGTGTCAAATAAGACAAGAGAAGATGACAAATATGGTTTAGGAACCAAGTTATTGAAACGTGATTTATTTTATTTTTTTAAATCCGTTGTTAGACCTTTTGGCGGCAGGAACAGTCTTTGTAAAAATGCAGAAAACCAATTAATATTGTCAGATATTAATATCAACAAGATAAAAATTTTTGATTTGAGCGGAAACTTGGAAACCATTGTAGGTTCGCCCGAAAGTGGAACACCTTTAGAATCTCCTGACAGAATATATATGTGTCCACGAACTAGAGTAATGGTTGTCTTCGAAAGACCTCCTTACAGAATGGTAAGCTAGTATTTTAAATGTTTGTTTAGTTTTTTACAATCTAATAACTAACAATAATTTTTTTCAGATCAAGGTTTTGGTGGCTTTGTTCCCAATAACCTCCTTCAGTTACGAAGCAACAAATCCGGAAGATATATGCATGGACAGCAGCTTCAAAATTTTTCTTCTGGACTCCCCGTCCAAGATAATTTATATATATGATACAACGGGAGTGTTGTTGAATGTCTTACATTGCCCAGATTTCCTCTACCCATGCAACATTGATGTCAATCAACACGAAGAACTGTTCGTCTGCGATAAGGAGAGACATTGCGTAGAGGTAGGATTTGTTCTTAACTTTATTGTCATTACAAAATTATTTTCAGAACTTGTTTTAAAATTCTAATTTCAACTTTCAGGTGATTAATTACAAAGGAAAAAAACTACGAACTATAGGTGGAGAAGGAATAACCGATTTTCCAATTTTCGCTAAGAACCCGAGTTTCCAAATGAAAGTGGAAACCTCAAAGACGATATCTGGCATTTTAAAGTTGGATAACAGCGATACTACGGCTGAAAATGAAAGCACTGAAGACGATATATGGGACATGTCTTTTGTGACAAATGTTAAAGTTAAAAATGAAGAGTTGTTTGACAATATCTTGGCGCAATGTCAACGGTTTGAAAGCTGCGAAAAAATGCTTTTTGAAAAGGGTGAATATGCGTTACCAGTTGAAAGTGGAAGCGTGGAAAAAGATATTACTTTTACAGAGCATGTCGGACTTAACAATGATGAGTCATTCAACCATATTCCGATTGTTAAATTTCTTGTCACGTAGATCGTTTAATTAATTGATATAATATTGAAAGACATTAAAAGAAGAGAAATAAATTAAGCAACGTTCTTGGCTTGTTTATTATCAACCGGATCAACAGAAAAAAAGTGAAGTTACATACAAAGCAGAGAACACTTGGTCCAAAAAAAATAAATGTATATCATAAATCATAATGTTTTAATATAAAACATAAAACTTAACACCTTCTCATTTTATTTAAAAACATTAGATGACCTTAACATAAATGTTCTGAAGACCCATAGCACATATCAGATTCTTTAGTCTTGGTCCTACCATTGGTTTTGTCAGGGTATCAGCAACTTGAAGTTCTGTCGCAACTTGTTCAACTGAAACTTCTTCTGCAACCTTATACCTGACAAAGAAATGTCTAATGTGGATATGCTTTGTTCTTCTGTGAAATTCTGGATCATGTGCTAAAAGAATCGCTGCTTCATTGTCGACAAAAATTTCTGGCTTTTTCTTTAGATCTACAAAGTCATTCAACAATCGTTTGAGCCATATCATTTCACGAGCTGCTTCACTTGCGGCAACGATTTCTGCTTCGGTAGTTGAAATCGCAACTGAGGGTAGACGTTGGCTAAACCAACTGATCACGCTTCCTCCAAACATACAGATTACATCTGATGTCGATTTTCCACTAGATTTATCTCCTCCATGATCTGCATCACTGTAGGCTATAAGTGTATTGTTTTGACCAGACTTGTAAACAATACCGACATCAGATGTGCCTTGCAAATATCTGAAAATTTACTTGACTTGTGCTACATTGGACTTGCTGGGTTTCTCCAAACTTCTGGATGCTACTCCAACTGCATATGCAATATCTGGTCTTGTTCCCGTCATCAAGTACATCAATGCACCAACTGCCGATCTGTAAAGAAATTTCACTTCCTCGTTTTCATTTTTGTTTTCATCGAACTCCTCAGATTTTGTAATAGGAGTTGTACAGGATTTACACTGACTCATCCCAAACTTTTCAAGAATTATTCTTGCATACGATGACTGACTGGCTGACTTTAATATTTCCCTTCTCATCTTGATTAATTTATAATCCAAGGAAATATCCAGGTTTAGATGTTATCTTAAACTCTGACTTTAATTCTTTTTCAAAAATTTTTAATTTTTCTTTATCGGTTCCTGCAACTAGTCCATCATCAACATACAGTGCAAGTATGAGTTTCTTTCCTCCCTTTATTCTAATGAACTAAGAAGTATCTGCATCATTTTGTTTGAAATGTCTCTTCAAGAATTCAGCAAAGCGTTTGTTCCAACATCTTGGAGCTTGTTTAAGTCCATAGAGACTTCGCTTGAGTTTACAGACTCTTCCTTAATTATCTATAAAATCTTCAGGTTGCTCTATGTAAATATCTTCATCTAGTTTGCTGTATAAAAATGCTGTTGACACATCAAACTGCATGAGTGATATCTTTTCATTTGCAGCAACACTTAATAGTGTTTTTATAGTTGAACTTCTGACAACAGGACTATAGGTTTCGTCATAGTCAATTCCTTTTTTCTGAAAAAAACCTTTTACCACTAGCCTGGCTTTAAAACGTTCAACAGACTCATCTGGATTGTGTTTTACTTTGTAGAACCATTTGCATGGTATTGCTTTATGACCTTTTGGAAGATTTACCAAATCCCACTTTTGATTTTTCTCTAATGACTGCATTTCACTGTTCATGGCTTTAAACCAGGGGCGTCATTTCAGATTTTGGTTGGGGGGGGCGAACTTATGTGGTCTATGACTTAGCATGTAACATATATATATATATATATATATATATATATATATATATATATATATATATATATATATATATATATATATATATATTATTAATTAAGATCACTGCGTTTCTTACAGTACTCAATCTATATGATAGTTTCTCGATTCTTCGAATAATTCTCCGAGCTTAACTTGTTAATGCTATTAACAAAATTCCCATTTACAGTAGATGTCATTATCTACATGTATGCATATAGTACTATTTCGACTACCTAGTCTCGTCAGTGCAACATTGTAATAAATTTTACATTTTTAAAGTTTTAAAAATTTCAAAAATTTTAAAATTACTAAATTATATATCCTATATATATCCTTTTTACAAAAAATTTAAAATTAACACTTTTATACTTTTATAATTTTAATATTTTATAATTTTTCTTCGGGGGCCCTGCCTCCCCCCAAATGACGCCTCTGCTTTAAACCACTCATCTTTTTCATCACTTTGAATGGCATCTTTTTAGCTCTCTAGTTCAAGTATTCCACATAATGCAGACATAACAAATGGATCATAACGAGATGGCTTTTTGATATTATTCCTGTCACGTGAAACCATACCTTTGGTCTTTTGATTACAACAATCAGATGGATCTTTTTCATCAGATAAAACTAAATTACGGTTGTAAACATCTTCATCAATTGAATTACTTTCTTTAATTTGAAGTTTCTTTATTTTCATCTTTGATTTCAACATCAATCGAAACTGTATCATCTGAACAACATTCTTCTTGCAAAATCACTGAACTTGGTTTGATAACCTTCTCATCAAAAATAACATCTCTTGATCGATGCATTTTAACACGTTTCTTATTCTGATGTCCCATTCGTTCATGGTATAACTGCAATGTATCTTGATCATTGACAAAGTTAACTTCGACTTCAGAATTCAACGGTCTAACAGTTTTTGCAACAAGTTTGAACAAACCTTCATTGTTGTTTCTTATTCCAACAACACTTATCACATTGTCAATAAGTAGATGACAACTTCTTGAATTTGAAACAAAAGAGCTATTTCTGTTCTTATCTTTAGTTGCAAGTACTGAGAACAAATTTTTGTTTTACTTTTGGCACATACAAGACCATCTGTGAGTTTAACAGTTTGCCATTTATTATTCACTTTCACTTGAAAATGAACAATTTTTTTCTTAAAGATTCTAGAGTAACACCATTTGCAACATATATTTTAATCGGTTGAGAAAATTTTTCAAAACTTTGAAATATGACACGTTGCATAATTGTCAAAAAACCATTCATCAGTGTATGCTGACTCATCAATTGCAAAAACACTTGATTCCATAACAACTAGTGACTTATTGTCATCGCGTAGATTGTTATTTCTTGGTTTTGCTGGTTTACCATCAGAATGCCCTTTTTCACAATTTCTTACAATGTGACCTGGCAATTTGCAATAATGACATATCAGTAGCTTTGGTTTGCTGACAAGTTTATCTTGTTTTTAACCTTTCATGTTTAGTGATGACGACTTTTCAGTTGTTGCTCTGACAAATAATACTTTAGTACATTCAGTTTTGCCCTTCCAAAGATCTCTCATAGCTAGACAGTTGGTCTGTGAGTGTTTCAACTGTTCTTTCAGTCTTATTCAACAAACTCCAAGTTGCAGCAAATGAAAAATATTTTTCTGGCAAAGTTTCAATTATTTAGCACATCAGCAACAAGTCACTGTTTTCATCTTTTCTTAACTCAACCTTTAAATCTTTCCAAAGATTCTTGAGTTTTGTGACACGAATGACAACATCATCACTTTCATCCATTTTATAACTAAAGAACTTTAAGCATAAGTTGTATGCTTTATCTTTATTAACTTCATCATACAATCTGTGAAGTTTGGATCAAACATCTCTGGCATTACTGAACGAACGAACTTTTTCATACGTTTTATCGGTCATGTTGGTCGACAGAATAATCATAGCACTTCAATCTGCTTTATTGAATCTGTTCAAAGCAGTTTGATGTTTTGCTCTCTCATCTTTTTTTGAGTCATCGTTTAATTCATCTAGAACTTTTAATTTGCCATTTACTATGTCCATTGCATCAGGAATGCCACGTAGTATTATACAAACTCTCGAATCCAGTTCAACCAATTACTTTTGCCTTCTAGGTGTTTGATTTGCACTTTTGTTAGATCCATTTCTTCTTTCTTGTCTTTCAATTTGACCTTTTAATTATAAGCAAAATATTGACTTTCAGAAAATGAAGAAGCACGTGTTTTCTCTTCACTTCAGTCTTCACAAAGGAATCTTCCGATATTTTTTATTTAAAATTTACTTCGTCAAATCAATTAATTAAGAAAAACGTTAACTGGGCCCATAACCTGTTAAAGTTCTTGTCACGTAGATCGTTTAATTAATTGATATAATATTGAAAGACATTAAAGGAAGAGAAACAAACTAAGCAACGTTATTGACTTGTTCATTATCAACCGGATCAACAGAAAAAAAAGTGAAGTTACATACAAAGCAAAGAACATTTGGTCCAAAGAAAATAAATGTATATCAAAAATCAAAATGTTTTAATATAAAACATAAAACTTAACATCAATAGATATTAAACATTTGGAAGAAAACGGAATCATGTCATTTGAGAACATAGATGTCTCAGCTCGAATCACCCAAGATGATGATTGGAGCATTTCTTTTTTGAAAAGTATTCATATACGGAATATGTGGAACAACAGCACTACAACTCAAAACGTGGCAAAGAATATCTGGAGTAACGTTGTCTTAGAACATATGGAGCGATAAAATGTAAAATTATATTTGGGTTGTTTGAAGCAACTTAGTCTTAGTAGACATGGAAAATAATTTTTGGCTTTTTAATATTTTTTTAATAACAAATCAATAATTAATAAAAGTTTTATTCACAAAAATATATAATTTTCTGACAAAAAAGTTCAAATTTGTCCCAGGATTTAACATTAACGTTTTGCTCGTTATATAATTATAGGTTATATAATTCAAATTTCACGCACATATATTAAATTTTTTGTAACGTACGTTGATTAGTTGATTAAAATACAATATCGGAAGTGTTTTTGAGATTTTTCTTTACACTCGTATTTCTTTTAATTGCGATGGAGCAAGAATAATGACGAAGAAAATTTTAAAAAATTCATGGTCACATATTGTCGTGTGGAAAAAAATTTTTAGAAATGAAGTTATGTTAATTGGAAAATGTTGCGCTAAATAAGTTAAACTTTTAAATTTATAATAATTTTGTTTCTAAATTGAATTTACAAAGTCCTATTTACCAGAGAAAAAGCTTAAATTATTGATATAATAATTATAAAATCATGTTTTTATACAGATTATTTCATGTTCTATTAATTCTCTGATTTTCACTATATTAAGATGAATGAGTTTTTTTAGTTCAAGTTTTATGTTTTGAAAATAAATATTATCAATTAAAAATATATGCCCGAACAATTATTATTTTTTCTTAAGCAAAATTTGTTGGTCCATTCGACACAAGTAACTGTGCTGGAAACGTGAGAGTAAAAGTGTTAGAATGTGAAATTTTTAAAACTGAGTCCACATTAAGTCAGTTGAAATTACGAAACTTTTTGTAAACTCCGTCAAAAACAAGAAAATTCGTCGAAATATTCCGCGGCGCTTGTTTGAGTATGTTCTCCTCCATGTGTGTATGTGCTAGTTTATGTGGATTACATATATGTGTCGTGAATAAATGTTTTACAATTTAAGCTGTTTGCGTTTTTATAAGATCTTATGTTTATTTTTGCGTGGTTTTATGTTTATTTGTGTGTGTGTGCGTGCCTGTGAAAATGCAAGTTTGTTTGTATCTACGTGTAGCTAAGCGTTTTTCAGATGGAACTTTATTGCTACGCATACAAAAAACAATTTCGATTAAAGCAAATACAAAGTGTATGTCATTTCATTTATATATTATTTAGATAACATTTCAAAGAGTTGCAACGGCTCAAAGAAATTACGGCTGATAATAAATTTCAAATATCCATGGTTGTAACTGATTTTGCGTCTGTCTAAGTTTGATTTGTGAAATATAAAATAAGCTTTGATGATAATAATCTTTATTGAAAGTTACCTTTCCTTATCAAAATATAATGTTTGCCTAACAATTGCAATCGATGTCATAGATTTATTCACAATTTCAAAAATTATTTTTAATTATATTTAATTTTGATGGTCTGCACAAGTTTCTTTTTACTTCTCCAGGATTTCTGTGGAATAAATTTTTGATGCTTTTAAAATACTCAACGGAGATTACTTTGAATACGAAATTTTTTTTAAACATTTAGTGGTTAAATATTTGCTCGTTTAACTTTATGGCATTCACCTAGCGTTGGAACAATGAATATTCAACCTTTCCAGTGGAAAACAAAATTTTGTATTAACTGGGAACGAACAGCCATTGTCAACTTGTTTTTTGTCAACTTTTTCCCGGAAACAGTTTTTTCAACGTGTTTTCATATTTTTTCATTAAAATCACATTAAAATAACCGAACATTAAAATACTTGATCACTACTTAAGCATATTTTGTTAGGTGCGTGAGTTGACACATTAGTTATTTTAAAAAACAATTATTTTTGGTAGTTTCCAATGATCATGCAGTTTATTTTTAAGTACAGTCTTAATTAGTGTTTTTTCACATGCGTATTTCTTTCACTTAACAAGTACAACATGCAAGTAGAATGATAAAGCGTTCATCACATGCATAAGCAGACCGGCAGTTTTGTGCATAAAAACTTAAAAAGAAATATTCAATTAAATTCACCTCGACCTGTAGATTTCTGAATGCCCAGTCCTTTAAATTAAACTAAATACATATGATGGAATCTCCATAAAACATTGCAGCCTGAATCATTCCACAAGTCCTATGCCGGAGAATTCTCAGAGGACAATCATGCGCTTACTTATCTATCTGATATCTATGATGTTAATATGAATAGATTTTAAATATTTATTTAAAATTTAAAGTTTTGCAAGTTGGTATTTTGTTATACATCAAAATACAAAGTGTATCTCAATTCATTCAAAAATTACTTAGACAGCTTTTCAAAGCGTTCCGCGGGTTCGAAGACATTACATTACGGCTGATAATAATTTTTACTTCATTAAAGTCAGACGTCTATTTCAATAAAATTTATTTTTTGATTCAACCTTCATTTAAACTTTTTATTTCAATTTTATTATTTCTCAATACAAAATTTTTACAGTAAACTGCGTCACCATAGAAAAATTAGCACTTTGAATAAATAACAAAGTACATTTTTACGTACAATTTTAACGATGATTGTAAAATGATATATGGACTTGTTACAAAGAGAGATGATAAAATTTATGACAAAGCTAAGTTAATTTTCAAATATAAATAGAGATGGCGACGAGGTTGAAGCATTACAACATTCCAGTTCAAACATTGCAATACAAATTCACTAATAGTGATTTGAATAAATTTCAACGATTAAGGTTTTCAAAATGAAAGACATATCATTGAGTAATTTGATGGCAGAAAAAAACAGGAACCAAATTTTGAAATTCAAAGATGTTAACAGTAAACTTCCAAGCTGCGGAAGCAACGAAAAGATGCGTCCGAAAACAAGCAATGATTGGTCAGTTGTTACCAGAACAAGACGGCCTACAGCTAAAAAGATATTTTCACGGGAAAATAATGAATCAATAAAAAATGGGAAAAAAAGTTATATCAACTGTAATAACCATTTAGTGTCAAATAAGACAAGAGAAGATGACAAATATGCTTTAGGAGACAAGTTATTAAAACGTGAATTACTTTATTTTTTTAAATCCGTTGTTAGACCTTTCGGCGGCGGAAACCGTCTTTGTAAAAATGCAGAAAACCAGTTAATATTGTCAGATACTAATATCAACAAGATAAAAATTTTTGATTTGAGCGGAAACTTGGAAACCATTGTAGGTTCGCCCGAAAGTGGAACACCTTTAGAATCTCCTGACAGAATATATATGTGTCCACGAACTAGAGTAATGGTTGTCGTCGAAAGACCTCCTTACAGAATGGTAAGCTAGTATTTTAAATGTTTGTTTAGTTTTTTACAATCTAATAACTAACAATAATTTTTTTCAGATCAAGGTTTTGGTGGCTTTGTTCCCAATAACCTCCTTCAGTTACGAAGCAACAAATCCGGAAGATATATGCATGGACAGCAGCTTCAAAATTTTTCTTCTGGACTCCCCGTCCAAGATAATTTATATATATGATACAACGGGAGTGTTGTTGAATGTCTTACATTGCCCAGATTTCCTCTACCCATGCAACATTGATGTCAATCAACACGAAGAACTGTTCGTCTGCGATAAGGAGAGACATTGCGTAGAGGTAGGATTTGTTTTTAACTTTATTGTCATTACAAAATTATTTTCAGAACTTGTTTTAAAATTCTAATTTCAACTTTCAGGTGATTAATTACAAAGGAAAAAAACTACGAACTATAGGTGGAGAAGGAATAACAGATTTTCCGATTTTCATTAAGGTTGGAAAAAACGACGAAGTGATTATATGCAACAATTACAATATTTTAAAAATAACAATCTTCAACAGAATGGGTGATGAGATACTGGTTGCATTGCAATCAATGTTGAGATTGGAGAAACTTCTCGATGTGACCATCACCTGTAATGGACGAGTTTTTGTTTCTACAAGTGATGGTGATTTGGTCATGATGGAATTCCCTTTTATAGCTTTCGACAAATTGAAATGGAAAAGAATTCAAATAAAGAACAAAAGGAAAAAAATGGAATATTGGGAGCATGAGTATCCAGAAAACGCAGAAAATGAAGTTTGGAAAAATGGTACTGTAGGTCGTTCTCTTACAAAGAATGTTGAATTTAGCGATGAAAAATCATTCAACGAATTTTCAGTGAAAAGACTGATAATTGAAAACAGTGAACGCGAGTTTCCAAATGAAAGTGAAAACCTCAAAGACGGTATCTGGCATTTTAAGAAAAAATGTTTGAACGACCAAATTTCAGTCGAAAATGAACAGTATGAAGAAAACAAAAGAATAAAGTTATATAACAACGATACCACGGCTGAAAATGAAAGCACAGAAGACGATATATGGGACATGTCTTTTGTGACAAATGTTAAAGTTAAAAATGAAGAGTTGTTTGACAATATCTTGGCGCAAAGTCAACAGTTTGAAAGCTGCGAAAGAATGCTTTTTGAAAAGAGTGAATATGCGTTACCAGTTGAAAGTGAAAGCGTGGAAAAAGATATTTCTTTTACAGAGCATGTCGGAGTTAACAATGATGAGTCATTTAACCATATTTCGATAGATATTAAACATTTGGAAGAAAACGGAATCACGCCATTTGAGAACATAGATGCCTCAGCTCGAATCAACCAAGATGATGGTTGGAGCACTTCTTTTTTGAAAAATATTCATATACGGAATATGTGGAACAACAGCACTCCAACTCAAAACGTGGCAAAGAATATCTGGAGTAACGTTGTCTTAGAACATGACATGGATAATCACATTCGCAACATATGGAGCGATAAAATGTAGAATTATATTTGGGTTGTTTGAAGCAACTTAGTCTTGGTAGACGTGGAGAATAATTTTTGACTTTTTTAATATTTTTTTTAATAACAAAGCAATAATTAAAAAAATTTTTTATTTACAAAAATAAATAATTTTCTGACAAAAAAGTTCAAATTTGTTACACGTTTTGCATGTTATATAATTATATGTTATATAATTAAAATTTCACGCACATATATTAAATTTTTTGTAACGTACGTTGATTAGTTGATTAAAATACAATATCGGAAGTGTTTTTGAGATTTTTCTTTACAAGCGATAATTATAGCTCACTCAAAATGAAGCAAGAATGATTACGAAGAAAATTTAAAAAAAATTGCGTTAAATATGTTAAACTTTTAAATTATATTTCAATCAATCAATCAATCAATCAATCAATCAATCAATCAATCAATCAATCAATCAATCAATCAATCAATCAATCAATCAATCAATCAATCAATCAATCAATCAATCAATCAATTAGCTTATAAAGCGCTATTTCCGCAATGTTCAACAGCGCTCCTCAATGAATTTTGAAAACAGATGGGTCTTGAGATCCGCTCTGAACTTCGTAAGTGATGGAGAAGTAGTCAGAGAAGTAGGTAGAGAGTTCCAGAGAAAAGGACCAGAAAAAGCAAAAGCAGATTTGGCAAAAGAGTGTTTAACACGAGTTAAGAAAAAGCGAGAAGAAGAAGACGATCGTAACCCGGGGCGTTTAGGTTCAATTAATATATCTGATAAATACTTAGGAAATAATTAAGATTGAGACTTATACATGAACGTGCAAATTTTAAAAATTATTTTATATTTTATAGGTAGCCAGTGCAAGAGAACAAGATATGGAGATATATGAGAAAAGAAAGGGCACGAGCAACTAGACGAGCAGCAGAGTTAAAAGCTTTAGTTAAAGGATAGAGTATAGAGTCAGGAAGACCATAGTAGAGCGAGTTACAATAATCAATCCTAGATAAGACTAACGATGTAACAAAAAGGAGAAGAGTAGGATCATCAAGAAAAGGCAAAAGTTATTGTTATTATTAGACCTAAGATTAAAGTAAAAAATTCGCCGCCGAACTACTCTCGTCGGAGACAAAGGAGTGTTAGAGTGGCTTAAGAGAAAGTCTCTAGAATAAGACATAATAAGATTTACAAGTTAAGAAAAAAGATGTAGAAAGATATAGAAAAAAAATAGTCATAGTAAAAAAGAAGAGAAATATTTATAAATATTTATAATAATTTTGATTCTAAATTGAATTTACAAAGTATTTATAATAATTCTGATTCTAAATTGAATTTACAAAGTATTATTTACCAGAGAAAAAGCATAAATTATTGAGGTAACAATTATAAAATGATGTTTTTATTCAGATTATTTCATGTTCTATTAATTCTCTGATTTTCACTATATTAACATGAATGAGTTTTTTAAGTTTAAGTTTTATGTTCTTAAAATAAATATTATCAATTTAAAATATATGCCCGAACAATTGTTATTTTTTCTTAAGCAAAATTTGTTGGTCCATTCGACACAAGTAACTATGCTGGGAACGTGGGAGTAAAAGTGTTAGAATTCAAATATTATTTAGATAACATCTCAAAGAGTTCCAACGGCTCGAAGAACTTACGGCTGTTAATAAATTTCAAATATCCATGGTTGTAACTGATTTTGCGTCTGTCAGAGTTTGATTTGTGAAGTATAAAATAATCTGTGATGATAATAATCTTTATTGAAAGGTACTTTTTCTTATCAAAATTTAGTGTTTGCCTAACAATTGCAATCGATGTCATAGCTTTATTCACAATTTCATAAATTATTTTCAATTACATTTAATTTTGGTGGTCTGCACAAGTTTCTTTTTACTTCTCCTGGATTTTTGTGGAATAACTTTTTGATGCTTATTTTGGGACTTGTTATTTTCAAAAACAATTATTTTTTGGTACTTTCCACTGGTCATGCAGTTTATTTTTATATACTTATACAGTCGTTACCAGTGACATTTTTCTAAATCAGATAAATTCTGGATTAATGTCTAAAACGATAAAAATGATGATAAAACATTTTGATTGCAATGAATTTAATATTTTAAACAAATCAATCACATAACAATACTTTTTTTAGTCTTTACTACGCACAACCAACTACAAATGTTACACATATATTTTCTATAATCTTTTATTACGTTCTTCTTATCTTTATTCCTTGTTTTGAAGCAGCCATCATCGCTATGTTTATCCTTTTCACACGACGTACACATGTATTTATGTGCACGCGCAACGCACCGCATCATGTATGCTGAGTATGTTTGAACCACTGAGATATCTAGCCGGCCAACATGCGACTACTTACGTCGTTTCGCCATCCGCCTCGTGAGGATGGACGGCTGGGTTGGCCGGGGGTCGGCTACTCGGATAAATCTGCAGAAACTGCAAGATTCGAACTGGGGTTGTGGGATAGTTGACGGACACGCTAACCATTTGGCGCACACACACACACAATACACACACACACACACACACATATATATATATATATATATATATATATATATATATATATATATATATATATATATATATATATATATATATATATATATATATATATATATATATATATATATATATATATATATATATATATATATATATATATATATATATATATATATATATATATATATATATATATATATATTTATATATATATA